ACGGGTTGCGTTCCTTTAGGCCTTCCTGCCAATATGACCAATTTGCGAAAAAAAGGTCAAACAAATCCCCAGCGGAACTTGAACCATGACGGTGCCGCACATACTATCGACACGTGAGCCACTACGCTACTTTGCCACAAGTGCTCTTGTGGTCTCACAGGACGGATGTGAATTTTAGGGAAGGTCAGGCATTTTCCCATATGACATTCTGTGGTGGGATTGCCGATGAAGCAAGACTATATTTGCTATAGCAATAGACTACGTTACTTATGTTTCGTTAACGTGTCGAGATTATACATTGCACTGTCATGGTTCGAGTCACGCCGTGGGTGTTGATAAGACCTAATCAAGGTCGAAACCGCGGTCAACCCTGGATTAGAATACCTTTTGGTAAAGCATGGCGATGGGAAATTCAATAGAAATATAGGGTCTGCTCATACCATTGCGGGAAATAACTCAACCGCCGGTCCCAGTATCACTTTAAACGAAATAGAGTGAATACACTCTATATATTATTGACCTACTGGTAGTCTTGATTACTTACTTTTAAACGAAGCATGATAATAATAAGTTGAAGCATAGACCATAGAAACTGACGAGATAGCTTATACACTTCCTAGTCTTGCACCAAATCCTAAAAATCTGCGACACTTGATCGGTCGGATTATGGTTGTCTCAGTACTTGTCCTACCTGGCAACAGTTGATTTTGCAGGCGATTGAAAAGTCCAGTTGCTTGCTTTACTCGGCGCCGATGAGCTCTCTGCTTGCGGTTCAAACAGTTGAGAGTGGAAAATTTCGATTTAGCCGTTGAGATGAAGGAGAATCCGGTAGTTGCACTCGCTCCGTAGTCAGACCCAACTGGACGCTGACCGGAAGTCAAGAAGATCGGATTGTCTATGCCATCGCTTTTTCCCACCAAGTCATCCTCCATACTGTAGTGGGAATGATGTCGTAACTGTCGGGGATCATAGCCATGTTGTCCCCAGACTGGCCCAGCGGCTGGTGATGGTCAGATGAGAGAAAATAACAAAACGGAGGGTTTAAAGCAACCAGGCGAATGGTGCAGAGAAATGGCATTTTAGGCGAATACGAGGCTGGTAAGATGCTTATGAGTTAAGAAATGTGTGGAACAAAAAACCATTGAAGAGAAGAGCAAGTACGTCATAGAAACAAGGCCTAGAAACGAGCAAAACAGCAGAAGATGCCTACGGTGGATTCCGACGTTCCCAGGGTAGTATGAACTAGAAATTCTTGAGAATAGGGACCGAAATGCTCCCTCATCGTAAGTAATGACAATATGAGAGGTATTCACCCTATTTCGTTTAAGGGGATGAAGGACTGGTAGTAGAATTTTTTCACAATGATAAGTGTAGAGCTGACGCTTCAATTGAATTTCACATTGCCTTGCTTTCCCAAAAGTTGTTCTCATCCAGACACCAATGGACTGCAGTTTCGACCTCGCATCGGCCTTATCAACACCCTCAGCGGGAGTCGAAACGTGACACTGCAGAATGGGAGCTTGACACGTTAACCACTCGTATTGATGAGACCAATGCGAGATCGAAACTGCAGTCCACTGGTGTCTGGATGAGAACAACTTTTGGGAAAGTAAGGCAATGTGAAATTCAATTTAAGTGTCAGATCTACTCCCATCACCTTAAACGAAATAGGGTGAATACCTCTCATATTACTGATTTACTGGTAGTCTTGAGACACTACTTAAATACGAAACTAAGTAATGACACACTTCAAACTGCTGAAAATACATAGTGAAAGCAAAATTAGACACACAAAGTCGTAATTCGCTCATAATGAATATCTGGTGCCAAAATCGATTGAAGCTGTAGAGCTTGATGGTAAAAAAGGCCCAACTTTGGACCTCAAATTTCAGCTAACATTTGCGCTAAGCCAATTGTGCCGCAGGGCTCAATTTGCGGCACAAAGCAAACATTCTACACACTCGGAGATGGAAGAACTTGTTTCCACATAAAGCCACTAGTGTTACTCAGTTGAGGGACACTTTGACTTTGATTGCAAATTTGCAATGGGAATAGACATTTGACCTTCCCCGTTATAGATAGACTTTGGTCTCTTGGGCAATTCATCTTTGAGATTGTCACTCTTCTCGGAGTACCTGTCTGCTCTGTCCTTAATGACCTGCGCTTGGCTTCGGTAGACTCTATGGCAAGCCTGCTCTGGGCCAGAAAACATTTAGATAAAAAGCTCGCCGAGACGCCTTACCCAAGCAGATCGGGTCCGATTTCCAAACTTTTTACTACAGATTATCAAACGAAAAGAAATTATTCACAACATTCTTTCGTCAGGACGACAGACCTATTTGTTGCGTTCACGGTTTAGAATGTATGTGTGTGGGCACAAATCAACCGTCCGTGTTAAGGCTTTTCT